TTCCAATCCTCTTTTTCCAGCTTTGCTTGTAAACACTGTAAATATAATGGTCTATGGTGGTAATAAGGTGTGTCTAGGTTAACTCATTAACATGGTTTTGTTGACAGTTTATGTGAAGATGAGGTCTTGAAAATATTATGATCATTGCAGAGCTCTCTCTCATTTCAATATATATATATATTTATGTATTTTATGGATATGTGGTGATAATGCTGGTGTGAATTAATTAATTATAATTGAAAAGATATCTAAATAGAGTGAATTTTGGTGATTTAATTAAAATTATGCAATGCAATTAACAAAAATAAATGCAGAATCTTGGTGAGAAAATCTTCCCAACATAAGCTGCCCAGTTTGCTCTGTTTTGTTTGTGAGGGAACAAGATTAAAAAAAATTGTTTCTCCCAAAAGCGTGAGCCTGTAGTTAGTTAATCAAAATAGTGCATTTTTCTCAAGGAAAAAAAAAGTTAAAAAATATCATTTCTTGGAATTTTCTAATTGTTCATGTTAACACGATGCGGTAAGACATAGGAGATAAAATGTGTTATAAAAAATGAGTCCCGAATAACTTCAATCCTAGCAACAAAATAATTCTATAAACGTATTTCTAATAGAAGAAAAAATAAAAAAAAAAACATCATGAGACATTTTCTAAATTTGCAAACCCCCCATTTTCATCAAATTTCAAGGGTTTTTTATTGTAATTTTCAATAATCTGTGGCACTTCTGTAATTACCCAAATAACAAGGGAATTACTGTAATTTTGGTGATTATTAGTTAGTTCCTCATGTACATGTATATATACACATTTGTACGACACATTAAGTCATTTAATCTATTTGATTTGTGCCATCTCTTTTCCTTGTTCATTTGTTTCAAGACAGCTTAATTCCCAAAAATCAAGATTTTTTCTGTCACAGCATAGCATATTTTAAAGATGGACACAAAAGGAATATGTATTCTATTAGTGAAGGATGATCTTACATGCAACAACGTTGTGTCCCAAATGCTTCAACTTTACAACTATCAAGGTATACAAAAAGATGGACAATTAATTAAAAAAATACTTCATGTTATTAGTTTTCTTATATGTTTTGTTCTGTTAATTTTTTCTCTTCTTAGTGTTGCATGTTGGAAGTGTATTGGATGTTTTGAATGCAATATGGGAAGCCATGAAAAAGCTCGATTTCGTTCTAACGAATGCCCACAAGTTAGAGTCGTCGAATGGCTTAGTCATCATCCAACATATTCAGAAGAAGTTGAATCTACCAGTCGTTTGTAAGATAAACAAAAAAAAAAACTTTCATTTGTGTATTTGTGTAAAATGAATATTTTGTTCTTATTTATGTTATTTGTAGTGATGAGTGCCGATAAATTGAAGATTTCGTCGAAAGACCAAGATCCGACTTTTGCAGCGTACATTATGAACGGTTTGACTAAAAGTGATGTGAATAGTCTCTGGCAATTTGCATTAGGAAAGGTGAAAGAAAGAGAAGAAAATGTTCGAAAGTCATCGATAATTTGTAATAATGTTGAAGTTGATGAGAAAAGCAAGATTTCTGCACTTAGTGAGGCTGAAATTGAATGGTTTGATCAGAAAAGAAAGAGGAAAGAGTTAGTGAACTCGAAAATCGAAGGCGGAAGAAGACTAGCGAAAAAGCCGAGGGTCGTGTGGACAATGGAAATGCATCAGAAATTCTTGGAAGCCATTGAAATTATTGGATATGAGAGTAAGTTCATAATTTTTTTCTTCTTTTGTTTTCGGTTTGTAATGTTTTGATGAATAACTTTTTGGTTTTTTTTTTTATTTTTTTTTCTTGGTAATTTTAGACTTAATAACAGAAGCCTCCCCTGAAAAATTCTGTTCAATTGCAAACTGGCCCTACATTTTGTTTTTAACTGACAGTTTGGAAAGATAGTTGGGTTCTTTTTGAAATCATGTCAAACCTTTTGGAAGTTTTTATAATTTAGTAATATACCCTTCGTTTCAAAATTTCCCTGTTTTTGGCTTTGCTTACTTACAGAGGCAGTTCCTAAGAAAATTGTTGAAGTTATGGGAATATCAGGACTCACTAGAGAGAATGTTGCCAGCCATTTGCAGGTAATTAATTAATTCTTTTCAAGTTAAAAATATTTCAATAATCAGCATGCAAAGTCAATAATTTTATTTTTTTTTGCAATAAATTAAAAATATATATGATGAATCCCACATGAAAAAAAATCAATTTTTTCCATGAATCTTTATGTTTTAATTCAGCAAGATATATGCACCATCAGGAGCAATTAATAAAAATATCAATATCTTTACAATAATGAGCATATTTAATGATATATTAGTGATAACTTCATACATATGCATGCTTTTGTTTGCTTCTAAATGTACAAAGATCTTATTATGCATCATCACTAAGTGAATTTGAACACATTGAATAACAAAAAAGTAACATATTTGTTTTCATTCTTAAAAATCCTTGTGCGCAGAAGTATCGTGGCAGCACAAAGAGAACTCAAGAAATTGAACAATACATAAGTGCAGCAAAATCGTACGATTACAATTACCGATTGGTCAAGAATGCGAATTTCGTTGGATACAGATTGACAGACAATGGAAACTCGATTAAATTTGGAAATCTTGAAGATGAAAATGAAGAAAAATGGCTTTCTTCGCTTGATCATCATCAAGATATTTCTACTCAATCGATGACAGTAAAAATGGGAAATGACTTTCCGGTCCAAAATTCAGAGGAATTCTCACAAATGGCTCAAACTTTCGATAATTATCTTGATGAGGCCTTGCTGAAAAGAGAAGGAGATCAATGTTGCCAATTGGATTGGGAAGAATTTTGTGATGCACTCTTTGAGCATGATGATTAATTAGTCTTTACATTTGAAAAGCTTATGTTGTGTATATATAGCTAGAGTAGAAGATTGAGTTGCTTTTAGAACTCAAATGATGTTTTATCACTGTTTGTAATTATCTAACCAATCTCTACTCATTTCATTGCATTTATGTTTTTCGCAACAATCGTTATAAATAGTTGGTTTATTATTATTGTAGTTTCGAATTTGAATATAATATAAAAAAACGTTGTATTTTGATGTGTGCATTACTCTGAAAATCTCCGTATAATTTCTTCTGAAGGGATAATTTATTCCTGTTAAAGTTTTTTAGACCACTCAGTCCTCCATAATATACTAATCACAATCCATCAATCACAATTTTGAATTACACACTCACACTATAGACTAATTAAGGAAAAAAAATGTGACAAACAAATTGCTCCGATAAATGAATATACAATATGATTTTCATTTTTGTCTATGTTTTACTACTACTTAAAGGAAGTATTATGATAACATAACAACATAACTCTGAATAAAAGTTGACATTTTCCTATGAGGAAAAATATAATTATTACAAACAAAAATAGCTAAATGGGAAAATATAAATTGCAATATCAATTATTGATTATATTTAATAAATAATAATCTAATAAATACGTTGTAAAAACATACACTTCCACGGTCGGGGCTCCTGAGCAATATCGACAAAAATGAACATCCTCCTCCATCCCTCGTCGCCGGCGATTCCCTTTCCACCGTCGGTGCACGAAAGCCTCGCCGCCGTCCCCACCGTCAAGCTTAATCGAAACTCACCGCGGCGTATTGTAGCCAGCTCAACCTCCAAAAGCAAACCTAAAAAGCAAACAGATGATTATCACTCCACTCTTAAAGCCCTAAACTCCAGAGGCCGCTTTCCAAGAAAATCACTTGGCCAGGTAAATTTTTTGTCCATAATATCCATAAAATTGGGTTCTTTTTAAATTTGATTAATCTGTGCTGTTCTTGATTTTTTATTTTTTATTTTTTTGTCCCATTTAGCACTACATGTTGAATGACTCAGTGAATGAGGAGCTAGTGGCGGCGGGCAGTGTTAAAGAAGGTGATATAGTGCTTGAAATTGGGCCGGGGACTGGTTCGTTGACTAATGTACTTGTCAGTGCCGGTGCATATGTTCTTGCTGTTGAAAAGGTCCGAGCTTTTAGGCTCTTGACTTAAATTTTAGATTAATCTGTTTGTAGAAGTTTGTATTTGCACAAAGTTTCTCCATTGCTTGAGATTTGGATGTCACGGTTATGGCGAGTCTGCGTTTTGTTTTCTACCTGTATGAAATTTGGAGTTATATGGATGATTTGTAACTAACCCCAATTCTCTTGATAAGCTTTTCTTTATTCGAAAAGATATCGAAACCATTCTTTATGCATATTTTGTTAATCTGGATATTGTTCTTTTGTGCATGTAATTTATTTTATTTTTCTATTGTGATTTCATTTTGCTGTATGGTTTTCTTATTAGGATCCACACATGGCAGCTCTGGTAAGGGAACGTTTTGCCGGATTAGAATGTGTCAAGGTAATGAATTATGTGGTTAAAAGTTGAAACCATTGGCACGTGATTTGGTTGCATTTCAATTTATCCAGTTCTTCTCACTGCGAATGATAATAACCAAATTCTATGCTCGAAAAACTGACTATTGTTACTTCTTTTCTGGTAAGTATGTATTTCCAAAATATCATTCTTTTTTAGATTTATCTAATCCGGTATATTGTATATTTTTTTCCCTTTTCTTTATTTTTTCCGCTATGGAACTATTTGTCTTATAGATATGCTTAGGCAATTGTTGTACACTCCAAATTAAGAATTCATGAGAAGAAGAAAGAAAGTTTATTGCCAGAGAACTATTTTGATCTATTCTAACATGTAGGTTCTGGAAGACGATTTTACGAGATGTCATATACGCTCTCATATGTCTTCGGTATTCCAAAATAGGAGCCCCACAGATGCAAAGGTTAGGGATAATAGTGTTGCTCTTTTCAAATTTGATAGATTATGAGCTATGTTTCCTTAAAATACTTTGTAAAAACATTGAGTTCTTTTGTCTTTTTCTTTTTCTTTTTATTTTTCTTTTCTTTTCTCTTTCTCTCTCTCTCTCTCTCTCTCTCTCTGTGTGTGTTATTTTTCTTTCAGGTGGTGGCTAATATACCTTTCAACATAAGTACTGATGTGGTGAAACAACTTCTTCCGATGGGTGACATTTTCTCTGAAGTGATCCTTTTACTTCAGGTATATGCAATTAAATAGTAACACGTCAATTTGATTTCAACCAAAAAATATTCATTATCGTTTTTTCAGGATGAAGCTGCCTTGCGCTTGGTTGATTCGTCTTTAAAATCATCGGAATATCGGCCCATAAATATTTTCGTGAACTTCTATTCAGGTCTTACTATAAATATTTCTGAGTAATTGCATATTATGTCTTCTTGATATATTTACGATTATTTTTTTATTTTCGTGAGATATTTACGTGTTTTGAGTTGTGTGGAAAATGTTTCTTTTTCAGATCCTGAATACAAAATGAAGGTTTCGAGGACGAATTTCTTCCCTCAGCCCAAAGTAAGTTTTTCCTACCGTACACTCACATTTTTCTCTGTAAGGCATAAATATTAAATACACAGTTGACAGTTCATATATAATTCAGTTCTTTCCGATTATTTTGTTAGGTCGATGCAGCTATTGTATCATTTAAATTAAAGAAAGTGGCCGATTATCCTCGTGTTTCCTCCATCAAAAGCTTTTTCTCAATGGTAATGTTAAGAATTTTCGGCAGGCATAATGTTAAAATTGAGATTTAGGCATTTTTGTGCAAAAGAAAATACTTCTAAGACTTAATTCACCAAGCGCTTTATGTTAGGTAAACTGTGCGTTTAATGAAAAACGTAAAATGTTGAGAAAATCACTACAACACGTATGCCCTTCCCCTGACGTTGAAGCCGCTCTGTGTGCTGTTAATCTTTCACCCACTGTGAGTTTTCAGTTTTTTTGTTTGTAAAAGCTCGATTTTATTTGTTTATTTATTTATTTTCTTTTTTTATTGCTTCATTTTTTCAATCTTGAATATGATTGGAGTTTTCTCTTGCAGTCGAGACCCGAAGAACTCACATTAGATGATTTTGTTAAATTGCACAACCTGATAGTGGAAGCACAGCTATTATGATAAGTGATAAAATCTGGAAACTCTCTTCTTTGTTAATTCTTTTTTATCATGTAGTGAAAACTGACTTGTTACAATTCTTTGTTGTGAAATAGTATAAGATTGTTAGTTAACATGATCTTTTACATGTACAGTAAAGAATTAATCATCTACTTTGTGGTTTTGATTTACCAACTGGTTTAATTTACCGAATCTTGTGTTGGCAAGATCTGGATCGTTGATCTTAGTACTAAGAATAATCGTTGATTTATCAAACGATCCAAGTTGAACTCGAATTGAGCCGAGCCAGACTCGTTATTGCATATGAAGAAAGCAACAAAAAAACTCATGTTGAAAACGCACGTTTTGTTCAGACATCTTGTTGTACTGAAAGACGACAAATTGGACAAGTCGATCGTTTCGAAAGCCATGCATCGATGCACGAAAGATGAAAACTATGGCCGCATATCGGTATTATTCCAAGGGATTCCCTCTCTTCATACTCTACCAAGCATATTGTGCATCTGAAAATTGATTGCGTTTTATCGATTAGTAAAAATACATTTTTGAAGCAATGTACTTAGGGAAGTTCCATTGGACTCACTGTGAATCTCCCCTCGAACCGAATGCTTCATAATCGAACTTTTCTCTCGGGATTGAATCGACTACGGCTGGTTCAATGCCGTTAATAATCTCACATCTTGCCTGCCAAATCCCAGGCAGGAAAAATAAAAAATTCAAGCTTAATTCATCTCAAGCAAGAATATGAACTTCATAATGAAGATATGGAGCAAGCTAACTTTATGGAAACAAATCAAAACAAACAGCATTTTAAGTATATTGCAATGAAATGATCGTTTCGTATTCGATAATTTTTTGGCGGGAAGTCGATAGTTCACCATACCAGCTCCAGTGAGCCGACTTCTAACAATTGACGAGCCTCAATCGAGCGTAGCCTCACACATATCAGTCTTGTGAAGACAAAGACAATAAAAGCTGCACTCAGAACAAATCCAATAATTGTTGTGATTAGATTGAAGCTTGGGCCTAACATATCACTCAAAAAGCCTCTGCCAAATGAGAAAAAAAAAAATAAAAAAAAAATAAATTAAAAACAGATTGAAAAAATAAATAATGAAAGACCAGGAAAATTAGAGAGTGCCCAAATCAAGATTTATTTTATTTGGGAAAATCATATATATAATGATGAGTGTTTTATGTGGTCACAAGGTCCACAGTAAAAGAATCATAAGAAGTTCCAAGAAATAGGTGAAAAAGTTGTTATTTTAGCAAAATATAAAAATAATAAATAAAATAAATAAATCACTGATTGAATAATCCCCACATCAATTAAAACTAAAAACAACAAGAAAAGGCCGAATTAGGTAATCACGAAAATCATCCACAAATCAAAAGATCAAATATTTGAAAAAGTGGGCTAAACCATTCACTAAAATTGATAATTCCCCAATCAAAGGATTATAATATCTTAAAAAAGTGGGTATGGCGCCGAAATTGAGCGGCTAAAAGGCAACGTACAAATCTCACAACTTTTCTCCCAAAAAACACACACATTTTATGGACCTTCCATATAGTGGATCAGCCACTAAACGAGTTGAGACGAGTTTGGACTTTTAATTTTCTAGTTCTCTATTGAGCCTTAATCGAGTCGAGCTCTGCTCATTAATAAGCCTATATATTAAAAGCTAAGAAAACTAAGTAAATGCTATTATTTATCAAGCGTAATGATCGAGCCGAGTTCACGAGTAGCTCGATTTGTTTAACAGCTCTGAGCTTAGTTAATAGTAATCTTTCATTGTCTTTCAACCTTTATATACAGTCCACAAACTTTGTGGACTTGTTTTTTGAGCTGATCAATTTGCTAAGTTAATGACCGACAAACGAGCTCGAGCTCAGCTCATTAATAAACTTTAACGAGACGATATATAATCAAAATTTAAAATATCACACAAAAACCTCTATTCATCAACTCTAATGAGCCTTAACGAACCCAACCGAAGTTTTTGGGTATACAGTCCACAAAGTACTGGACCGATTGATTTCTGAAAGGGATACTTGAACTTCACTAGTAGAGATGCATAGTGCAGACAACAGGCCCAAACTAAAAGGCCACTGAGCCACATGCACTCTTCCAGCCCAAACCTTAGAGCCCAACAGCAAGCCCATAAAGGAACGGTGTCGTTCCGTGCTCAGAATACATGAATCTGCTCCATCTGCATCTGCTTGCTGGCTGTGGCTGGCCTACTGCAGAAAAAAGCTCAAAAGATATTTTATGGACTAAGGTCTAAGGTACAAACATCGTGATGCTCTTTTCTCTCTATTTATCTGCCTATGAAACTGTGTGTGTCTGTGTGTTTATTTGTTTGCGTATGCTTTTGTAGCGCTACAGCTTGACATATCTAATATCTTTTAGACAAAAAGCATTTGGATTTTCCGGCGCTGTTGTTCATAATTTATCGTTCTTAAGGTGCGTATTTAGGTCTCTGCTACTCGTTCTGAACAGATCTACGATTTGGCTTGAGCTGAAGCTCAAATTTTTGCGAGGTCAACGTTGATATGCGGAATTTGATTTTCGTCTGTGGGTCTTCATTTGATCTTTTGAATTGGTGCGCTTGAATAAGCATCTTGTTTTATGCTTTTAGTGCTTGGGTTGCACTGTTAATAATTTTGCATTGTCAGGGGGGGTTTTGGGAGCATATAGAACTCTAATTTGTAGGTGAACCTAAGGTTTCATTAGCGTTTTAATGGAGATGTCTACATTTGTGGGTATATACCGTTTATTATGATTGAAGCTTGATTCTTGATTCTTGGAGTAAGTGGAAGTCCGAAAGTATGAGTAGATTCATGGGACTTTTCTTATATCTAGTTGCTCTTTTGGGTTGTGGTTATAACTTATGAGATGTGGAGCAAATAGCTCCACTAATGGCCCACGACTACCTGATATGGCAACCCGACAAATCAGAATTTGAATCACCAGACGCGGCACAGAAAGCCCGAGATGGAGCCCGAGCCATACTCAATTATTTGTTAATCATCATTAGGTTTAAATCGAGGTTAAGTTGTACTAGTCCAAAAAAAGAAAATGTGCCGCATGGCGATAGTGGGAAATGCATACTTTTCAGGCCACATGGAAATATTCACATAAAAGAAAAGACTCATTTTCATGGCAACTTCCCAGCTAATATAAATCCGAAATCAACTTATAACCCCCACCTAAGAGCCGATTTAAAATCATTGTTTCGTTAACGGAAATACTCGTCAACAGGATAGCTACCAGTTTACTTTGAAACGAGAGATACTTGTTGTTACCAGTAATTATTTTTCAGGTAGTAGGTGCTTGGTGTAAGAAAATGTATTATTGTTTCTCTATGATGCTTGCTTTTACAAATTCCCAGGTCTTCATCATCTTTGTAATCTCGTTTTAACTCCTCATTGGTTGTGTGAGATGCAGGAAGAAATTATTGCATAGATTTTAAAATTTTCATTTCTTCAGCATTTTGATCAAACATGTAGTATGTTTCTAATTATCTGCCTAAACTTGAGTTGTCCTTTCATGGCCAAACTTAAAGCTACAGCCTACGTGTTTTCTAAAACTATTTATGCTGGGAAAGTTATTGGAGAATGAACATTCTTGTTCTTGGCAGAAAGCTTTTTGGATCATGAGGCCTCTATATTGTGGGAATCTGGAATTTGATGCTCGTGAATCTGATATTGAACGCCTCTTCAGAAGATATGGGAGGGTTGAGAGGGTGGATTTAAAAACAGGTAAGGTTACAAATTTATTATCTTTGCCTTTTGAGATATTTACTATGACTTCTAAGAAATCATTGTTTATCTTAATCCTTCAGAAGTTAACATATAAGAGAAACCAATTGAGAAAATCATTGTTTGTCGTAATTTTATCATTGGCTTTAAGGGGAGGGCTTAATTGCATTATTACAAAGAAAAAGAAAATAAACATGTTCCTTCAGCTTTGTTGTTTTAATATTAGTATTATTATTATTTTTTTTTTTTTCTATTGTCATGGAAAAATTGTGTCTTTTTGTTGTGAAACCCCCAAGCTCAATAGTTTCTTTGGTACAGGATTTACTTGGATATTCCCATGATCTTCCTCGATGGATGGTTCTCTGCGTTTATTTTCGGGCTTGTGCCCACGATACATGTTCCTTGTGTTTGTTCGAAAGAACCAATATGAATCTGCCAATGGATATGGTCCCACCATCCTACACTTTCCGTTTCCTCAGAACCAAATTGCACTTTGCATTCCTCATGGCTTTGGCTCAGTCTTCAATATCACGATATGTTATCATCTTCGTTCCGGATCCAATGGCAGCTATTGTGTTTTTTTTTTGCTTCACACGGATGTTTTTCCCTTCAATCCCTCTGGTTTTGCAGAGGTTTGGGTTTGTAGCAATCTTTTAGTCAACTATTTGGTAAACTAAATGTCTTTCACTGGAACCATCTTTTAATATAATTTGCATTTTGTTGCCAGCTGAAGCATATTCTGGCGTGATTTTTTTTAACATTTTTGGGGTTTTACAGGCTTTGCTTTCATCTACATGGAAGATGAACGTGGTGCGGAGGATGCTATCAGGAAACTCGACCAGATACAATTTGGTAGAAAAGGACGCCGACTTCGTATCGAGTGGAGTAAGGTATTTATTGCACGATGTTGATTTATTCTGTTTTCTTTTCTTCTCTCCTTTTTTTTGTAAAAAAAAAACAATAAATTTATTGAATTTGATCCATAGCAAGAACGTGAGCATGGTGGGAGAAGGCCTGACAGCTCCAAAAGATTCTCCACCAACTCAAGGCCTTCGAGAACTCTGTTTGTTATCCACTTTGACCCTGACTACACGAGCACCATAGACATCCAAAGGCATTTCGAACAGTATGGGAAAATATTAAATGTCAGGATCAAAAAGAATTTCGCATTTGTGCAGTTTGAGTTGCAGGAAGATGCCACCCGTGCTTTAGAAGCCACTAACATGAGGTCTCTCTCTCTCTCTCTCTCTGTGTGTGTGTGTGTGTGTGTGTGTGTGTGTGGATTTCATTAGTTGTAGCATATTTTCTTGCCATAATGTTGTCTTATTCGCATGACTCTGGCCTAATGATAAGAAGTGCATTTATCATCCTTTATTACCGAGTAGTTCCAACTTGCCCTAGAAAGAAAATCTTTGTTTTGGGATAGCAATTTTGGTGTCTTCAAGATTTTTATTTTTTTTTTCCCCTGAAAATTACTTTCTAAAACAACAACAACAACAACAACAACAACAACAACATATCCAGTATATTCCCAACAGGTTGAGAATATACTTTCAATTTACTTTCTATGCATATGAAATTATTCTCCACTGGAAATAAAGAAAAAGGGAAAAAAAAGCTTCAAGGTTAGTCAATTTACTGAGACTACTACTTTCATATGACCCTTGGTATTTCTTCATAACCTTAAAATGCACTCTCTATAAAAGGATTATTTGTTGAGAAATGCATCTATAATCATCACTAGATTTTATACATCCCTGAAAGAAAAGGGAAAAAGAAAAACAAATTCCCCTCACAAATGCACTAACTTCATGCATGTAAAACAGTAAGTTGATGGATCAAGTTATTTTGGTGGAGTATGCAAAATGGGATGACGATGGCAATAAAAATGGTTATAGCCCTGAAAGAAGAGGCCGAGATTCGTCCCCCGACCAGAGAAATTACGGTACGAGACGCTCCCCGAGCCCATACCGTGGGGATGCGGGCCCAGTTTCTAGATCCGAACATAAGGATAGCCGTGATTATGCTGGGCCTGAAAGCCCAACTGCCAACCAGAGACACAAGAGGTACTTATAACTTTTAACTTTGCACAATTCTTTTTTTTTCTTTGTATTTTTGTGTGTGTGTTTTATATGTTCTTTTTTAACTGTCTAGTCGTTCGCCGGAAGCCCCATGAAAGGTCGAGTACTTGACGAAGAAGACAATGTGTTGGGGGACGTTTGGTTTCAATTTACCGGACTTCGATTTTTCTAGTTTATGTGGTGGTTTACTTTTGTGTGATGATATATCTGTGCTTAGCTTGGATTTTGTTTGAGTAAACCAGCGACCAGCTTAATTCAGGTGGGGAATATTGATATGCAGTACTGTATTTCTTTTCTCAGCTGGGCTGTGTTTTCTGTGTTTGATGAATCTTCTGGGTGTTGATGTTCTATATTTAGTAATTTCTTTGTGATGTTTTTTTTACAAATACTCAATTGAAATTAGTCCCAATTTATTCAAAAATAATAATAAATTAAAAAATGAACACGTTATTTCCTTTGGTACGAATTTGTATTAGGTGAGTTTATTGTGAATTTTAAGCTAAAATTATTTAATTAAAAATGTACTGGCTGGCTCTGGCTGTCTGTGTGTGTTTGTTCTGAATAATAAAATATGTGGTGGTTATGAGTATTATTATTAATGGTTTTACATTGTTGTTAAAGTCAAATATATCCGATCCAGATCTAAACACCTTTGATCACATTATACCTCATAACTATACAACTGAGCAACAGTAAGATTTAGTCATATTATTTTCTAATTCCACAATTTCAAACAAATCATTGAAAATCAAAGCTAATAACAACCTCGGATATTTGTGAGAAAAGATTAGTAAAAAGGATGGTAATAATGAGCTTTTTTAAGCTACGATAGAGGTGGCCAAATGGTGGTTTCGGGCCGGTATTGAAGGCCCTGAACAGGCTCGGAAAATATACGGGCCGGTTCGGTTCATGCATTGCCGGTTCCTGGCCCGGTTTATTAAAAAAACATAGAAAATAATGCAAATAAAAAAAATAAAAATTGAACCATCTACGTTTTCGGTTGGGAACCGACCTGAAGGTTCAAAAATTACAAATATATAGCTCAAAACGGACCGGTCAAATCACGGGCTTGGTTCAAGATTGGTTGACCACAAACAAGTTCGGGCTGAACCGGCATGCTTGTTTGGCCAGTGGTCAATGGTCATATCTAGCTACGAAAACTAGAAAACATATAATCCAACCAAGTGAAGCTACAGTTTTTTCAAATATTTGAAAATTTTGAAAGTTTGAAAAGGGAACAAAAAATCAAAACAAAAGAAAACGAAATTAATTGAAAATTACAAGACCACAGTTGGTTTTGTAGAGCGTGCAGAATGAACAAATGCATGGGACAAAAAAATCTAGGTGCTGTTTTTGAATATTCAA